CCCCAAGTGCACCACGTTAATCAAGCTCTCCTTATTACCCCGGTCCCTGTCACGGCGGAGAGCGCTCTCTCTCTTAAATGCTCTCATTATGGTCCATCTTTAGAGCCGGCTGAGTGGAAAAAAAAAAATAGAGGGGAAAAAAAAAAAAAGAGCCAGATAGAAAGAGAAGAGGAAAAAGCAAGTCCGATCACATTAATATTCATGACAATAATTAGTATTCTAGGTCACTGAATATTCATGCTATTAGTTTGGTTTTTTATGGGTTTGCTGGATGTCCTGATTGCTGGAGTGTGGAGGAAAACAGCATGGTTGGGACTTTAGATGTCAACGGCAGTTCAATACTCCAAACACATTTGTGATTTTTTTTTTCCCCGTTTAGTAAATCAGCTTCAACCCTCCTGATGGCTTTAATATCTTCAAATCACCGGGGGAAAGAGAGCGAACAACCCTGCGAAGGTCTGAACGTCCAACCAGTTGGTACCACCCGGAGCAGCTGTCAGGAGTCAGTGGGATTGCACCAGGTGGACAGGGCAGAGCTGGGATTTTATTCAGGATACAGTGCCATGGAGGCATGAAAATCAACGGGAGGGAAACAGGCACGGGCTGAGCAGCACCGGCTGCGGCTTGTCTGTCACCCTCCTGAGGCTCCCCGACACATTCCTGCCCTCAACCCACCTCAGCATCACCGGGGACGGGCACCCTCTGCCCACCTCTACAAAGGATCCTCAGACAGTTCCTTTTTTCCCTCCTTCCCTAAAGAGAAAACCTAAGCAAACTCTTTTCCCCCCCCCCAATATTTAACAAACGCAGTTATTTTATCAAATACTTATTTTATTAAGGCTCACACGTGCCCTGCTCCTTTCCCCCCGTTATTGAGGAACATAGGGTACTCACAGTGAAAGTTTCTTGCTCTCTAGCTCTGGAAAGAGGAAATCCTAGTCCACAGGAACGGGAGAAGATGACCTTGAGGGATCCCCCTCTAGTGGGATGAAAGGGAAATCTCGGATGCACTTTAAATTGGGCTTTTTTTCCTCGGAAACGAGCAAACTGACAACTTCTCCTTCCATTGCTGCAGCTGTGTATCACTGAACTAACAGCAAACCCAACCAAATGGAAAATTGACTCGGGTGATTAATGACAAAAGTAAATCACAAACTTGTATTTGTGGTCTGTGGCAAATCCATAAACCCCACATTTCACGTTCAATCCAATCGCCTCACGTACCTCGTCAGACTGCAAAACTAGTGACAAATCCCTGCCAACAACCAACTTGGGGGAACCACACCAGATCAAACCTGGCTTTGTCGTGTCCACACCGCCCCAGCACACAACCTCAGGGACCTCCAAGTAAAGAATTCAGAGCACATTCAAGAATTTAGGACTCAGTTTAGCATTTGTCTGCAAAGGCACCCACGATCTACAGGCTGTGGAGCAACTGCCTGTGAGCTCTTGGCTTGATAAACATTTTTACTCATCATCAGCCTGATCACAACATCTGAATCCTCACAGTGCCCCCCAATTAAAAAAAAATTATTGTATGGTCTACAAAAACCACTGATGATTTGATAGATGATCACAATTAATAACAGCCAGAAAACTCACACTGATAAGAATGTGAAGCTGCTGTTCCTGTGGCATCTGAAATGTCACCCAGAGTTAGCAGATAACAACCTTCAGCACCCTTAATGACGGCTTGGAACTCACACATTTTGGGATACTTCACATACTGTACAGTCACTACTGTAAGGAAATTTAATAGCACCAAATTATTTAAATGAAGTGTTAATCAGGAAACTATTTATCTCTACACCATAAGCTATTTTTAGACATGAACTTTCTACATCAGTGGCTCTTGCTGCAGCTCAGGCTTTGGGTTGTTTGGAGGGGAGAAGAAATAAATGACTCCTGGGAGGGATTTCAGGAACAAGTTCACCTTCAGGTCAATCAGCTCAAAGCCAACCCAACTTGGGAGCAAATGAAACCTGGACCCAACTTCTGCTCCAAAGTCAGCAAGAGCTGAATCAGCTTCCAGAAGAGACTGGCCAGTGGGATGGACAGGACTCTGGCCCTGCTGTGTTATTAGAGAAGGTTGGAAGTGAGCAAGTCCAAGAGTTATCCTTTTCTGAAGGACTTCCAACTGAGCTGCAGCAACAGAATGATGCTCAGTGCCACACAAATTTAATTTAAATTTCAGTTACTTAAGCATCACTAGGATACCAGAAAAGTAACACAGTTTTAGATTAAAGGGAATAAACATCTATTTTCCCCAGCCCACAGATTCCCACCAAATTAGTTTACAAGAACAGGGACCTTTCCTAAAGCCATGGTTAATAAGCCTGGATATAACATAGGTAACACAACTAAAACAACACCCCATGTCTCTTTATTTTCTGGGAGAAGCTGCCACACAGAATCCCAGTTCTTTCAGCATAAACCCCAAACTGCACCTCCAAGAAAGCCCAGAGGCCAGTTTTCAACTAAAAGTCAACCTTTTCCCAGGCAGTGTCTGGCTTTGCAGCAGCAGAGCAGCTTCACCTTCTAGTCATTGGTCTGCTTTGTGACAGAGCACCCAAACCACTCCTTTTCCCTAATGCTGTTTCACTTCAGTTTGGACAGTGTCCTACCATGACTGTGACCTGATGCCAAGGAAAAGAATTTTCCCAGCCCTTGTGTCAGTGGAAACCCAGCAGAAAGAGTAAAGAACTGGAGGTTTTTTCTCTTCATCTATTCTCATAAAGATCTTCATTTTTTTACATCTCTGAAATGGAAATTCTCAAGGACTGGAACTTGGCTTTTGTTGATAAGATGATTATTACCCAGAGACACCTGCTTTGTTTGGGATGAAAATATTTATGGACTGGGATAACTGTCACTGAGAGATGGTTATTATATGTCTGCTTGTCAAAGTCTTTAAAACCAGAAAAACAACAATGTTCAGACCAGAAATGCCACAAAGCACGACAAAATTCCATGTACTTTTAAACTTCACCTTCTGCGTGTGACCCCTATGGCAATTAAACCTAACAGCAAACCTTGCACCTCCTGCTTGGCTGTCACAACTTGGATTGCCAAATAACTGAGTTTGCCCCTCCTGAATTCACAGCATCACCCTGAGGAGCCTCATTCCTTCTACCCTGCTCATAGCAATGCTATGGGAAGCACCTTGGGAAAGATGAATTACAAGAAACTCCACTAAGAGCCAGAGAAAACTATCTGCTGAGCACTCATGAAAAATTAATTTAGAACACGTCAGTCATAGGCAATCCAACAGGCATCTAATCTATAGATCTGTTGGCCAAGTTGGCACTGACATCCATCCTTAAGGGGCAGCTTCCAAACAGTGTTTAACTGACCATCAAAGTCTTTAAATGAAGACATCATTTAATATAAGCACTATGTGACTGCTTTGGGGAAGAGGTAACGTGCAACAACGAGAGTATAGTGAATTTACAGGCCTAAAACTAAAAACAGCAAGTGCTGATTCTTTCTGTGTGGTTCAAGCCTCATCCATGCACAGATCCGTGTACAGAAACCTCCCTGTGAAAAACCAGTAACAAGTTCAGCCCTGTAATCAATTTTCAAGCCCTATGCAAGCTGAAGACAACATTTTCCCAGGAAAAGCTCTGAGACAGCAGCACAGCCTGGAAGGGGTAATTTGCAGGTGTCTTTAGCTGCATGACAGGTAACTGCAGATACATCAGCAGAATCGAGCACCGAGTACCTACAGGTCTCCCACCCAACAGCAGCTGTGACCAAAATACCTGACCACAGCAAGATTCAGAGTAGCAAACCAGGCACAGACTGGGACAGTGTCTTTTTTTTTTTTTTCAGTATTAATATTCCCCTATTTTAAAATCCCTCTCTGCGATGCAGCTCTTCAGCCTCACCTGAACACGAGAACATTGGGAGGGACACATGGACTGATGCAGAGCTGAGCTGCTGGCAGGGACTTCCCACATCCAGCGTGTCCTACTACTTTCTTAATTTCATTTTCATTTGGCTTTTTTTAAGTAATACTTTCCTGATGAGCAGTTACTTTTTATGTTTGCTTTTAATCCAGTAACAAGCAGCAGATGCTGACCATTCAAGTGAAGACTCCTGAACATCCAGCTGACCGAGCTCCTTCCCACGGCTGCTGCTCCCAGTGGGTGCTGCACAGGGACAGGAGTGTGTGTGGATGGGTTTTTGGCACACACTGGAGGGGTCTGTGTTAATCATAAATGCAAAAGGCACTCAGCACTTTATGGACACCATCCCAAACATGCTGACAGAACTTCCAATAGACCATTAGGAGTTTTGTATAAGCTGCACATTTCACAAGACAAATTGTCACAAATGTTTTCTCTTAATGCAATTTTTTAAAATCCACTCAGCTGTATGGACAAGTACTTCAGGGAACAATAAACTTCTTTGTTTAGAGCTCTCAAGAAGCTATAAACTACTTCCATAAACTAATTAGAGCAGCTTTCTACAGAAGAATCTTGCTCTTGGAAAGTCCAAATTATGAATCCTTCTAAAAGTGGAAAGAGGGCTGTAGATCCCACCAGGAAGCCATAAAGAGCCCTTTCAAATCATACAGCATTTGTTTTTCCTAAGTACTAGACCTAATAGATCATCAATTCTTTGTTAATTTCTGTGAAAGTAGGTAGGGTTTTGGCAAGTATAAGGTAACAAATACACAATTACAGACACTGAAGGCTCCTCAGAACCTCTTGTGCAGGACAGACCAGCAGCCAGGGCTTGAAAAGTTCCACATGAGTGGAATCACAGAATCATGGAACAATTTGGATTGGTGGGGACCTTAAAGACCACTTAGTTCCAACTCCCCTGCCACGGGCAGGGACACCTTCCACTAGCCCAGGTTGCTCCAAGCCCCGTCCAACCTGGCCTTGGACACTATTCCCAGACACCATCCCCACCCCAGTCACATACAACAACTGCCTGCAGGCACTGGAAATGCCGTTTTTTCCCATTTTTTCCCTAACACGGTGCTCTCTTACCTGAATTTGGTGAGATGTGTAAACTGCTCATGTCCTTGGAGAGGCCGTTGGTTTTGGGGCTGGAAATGGGTGCACAGGCTGACGTGGCTCGGGGTGGCCTCTTCCCAGGGACCTTCACAGTGGTTCTCAGCAAGTCGATTTCTTTCCCGTGAACGTTCTGCATATAGTCCTGGCAAGAGAGACCCAAACCCCAACATCAAACAGGGAGTTCTATAAGCAACAGAATTAACAAACCTGGTTCCATAAGACTTTGGCCCGACATCCACTGACAGCACCCACTGTATGGTTTTCCCCTTCCTTCCATTTTTCTTGATAATCCCTTGCTACTACAATTTATCCCAAAAGTCTGGAGCTTTCTACTACACCCTCAAACTACCAGCTGGAGTCTGGTTTGAGCTACATGTAGGAGTTCACCAGCTAGAAGGTCCCAAACAGAGATGACAAAGCTGAGTGTCCCTCACGAGCACATTTACTTGCGCCTCCTCTCTGCCAGCGTGTTGTGCCCTTATCTCTTCCTCAAATTTGGCTGAAGTGGACCAGCAGGCACAAAAGGGCACCAGCACATAAGGTTTGGCCAATTCCAACTTTGCTTCCTTAGAATATGAGACCCTTCCTCCACCCACACAAGAAATCACAGAAGGGAAAAAGGCATGCAAATTGCATCTGATTAGAGGAAACACTAAAAGCTAGGAGCCAGACCTGGAAAAGGCTTTTGCTAATTCCTGTTTGGAAAGCCCAAATGGGGAAAGAAATGTAAGAGCAAATAGACACATAAAAATGGTGTTTTTATCAGAAAGCAATTGATTAAGGTCAGACAGCCACTAAGGCTGCAATCCTGGGATACATTCAGCAGAGATATTTCCAGGAGAGATGGTGAATGACACCACAAGACACCAAAGTTCTCATTTCCTGGTACACAACGTTGTGGTTACTCACATTCCAGAAAAAGTGCCTGAAACTGGAACAACTATGAGGGCACTAAAAGAAACAAAAGAGATGGTGTCTTACAGAGGACATGCAAGAGGGGACACACAGGAGAGCAAAATCAAGGGTGAAAAGGGACAAGATCACTGCACAAAAGGATATCTGGGTTGTCCAGAGAAGCTGTGGCTGCCCCTGGATCCCTGGAAGTGTCCAAGGCCAGCTTGGATGGGGCTTGGAGCAACCTGGGCTAGTGGAAGGTGTCCCTGCCCATGGCAGCAGATGAACAGGATGGTGTTTAAAGTCCCTTCCAACCCAAACCAGTCTGTGATTCCACGATTAAATATCCCAAGAGGAGAACAGCAGTATGAACTGGTTGGGAAAAGATCTGGGCTGAAGTTCTTGAGTTAAGCTGGAGACCAGGGGAATGGTATTCCTGAGCCACTTCTGTGGGGAGGCAAAAAGTCTTAATTCCTTTTCAGACAGAACCTGATCGCCTCGCAGAGACCTGGGTGACACCGTGGGCACCTGCATGAGCTCAGATGTAACTCCCCCTTGTCCAAGTCATCAGGGTAAGAGTCAGCCAGATGAGAGATGTTAGATGACAGACTGCCTGCACAGACCTGGACACCACCAGAGCACCCATTTCACACGAAAACTCCCGAGTGTACCCCAAACCTGTATCACTGCTGCCACAGTACAGGGAACAATCAGCTCCCTCATCAAGATTCTTTCAACTTTGGCAGCTTTTACAATGCAAATTATATATTCTGCTCAAAATCCATCAAAAACCTGGGACCAGCATTAATTTCTTCCCAGTTAACAGTAATCTGTGATAAACCCCCCAGACTAAGCCATCACATCAGCTTATTTCTCCCTAGCTGAGAAGTATTAACAGTAAAAGGTGGGGCCTGAGCAATTCCTGGGGAGAGGACGGACGCAGAGCTCTGCTGCCAAAAGAAACAAAGGCAATCCATTAAGGAAAATTCCTTTACTAGGTGTTAGACAGAGACGAACAAAAGCGTTTCATCCATAAATTACCAAGTTGGCGGAACTTTCTTGTTCGGTGTCAGTTCTTCGCAAATTAAAATACAATAAGCACAAGATAATTGAGCATTTATTGCTTATGGGCTCTAAAATGAGGCTTAATCAGAGAGTGACTAAAACTCGGCACGTGCTCTTTTCTAATAGACATGTTTTATTTCATGTACAACCACAGAGCGCTCCACTTCCACTGCAGAAGGAGGTGTTTATTCCAGATTCTTCAGATGAAAGGCATGTACGACTTCCCTGCCAGCTCGTGAGATGTGACAGGGCGATATTAAAGCCCTTTTAATTGGGATTGAACCAGGCTTAAGGTGAGCTATAAACCATTTGAGAGAGCAAGTGAATGTTGGCAAACAGAAAATAAATGCGCTGCAGCCGCACCGTTATTAGACCAAAGTGCCCGAGCACAACAGATGCCACGTAGATATTAATGTCAGCTTAAATATTTATGGGGATATATCAAATGTAAATAATAAAGGCTCTTTCATTGTGTGCAGGATGCATAGCGATAATCTGTGCATCCCCCCCGAGGAGGGGGGCCAGGCCCACATTCCCAGCCGGCGGAGGGAGCTCCGTCAGATCCCGCTCGGGGAATAGAACTTCAAACTACAAAATAATGTGGCGGCTTCAGAAGCGCAATGGAGGGTTTGATCAGATTAGAACAGATGAGGGTCTTGCTGTCATCTGGAATATGCTGTGTTAAAGAGAAGACAGCAAGCCAGATTTTGATATGCAAATGGTACAGAGATAACTCCCCAAGATGTTAGTTGTAGAAAATGCTGATCCGAGAAAAAAGGGGAAAAAACCCTTTAACAAGGCATGAGGGTAATTCAAAGCCAAGTACTTTTAAACAGCACTTAACAAGTCCCTAGAGCCCACTCAACAGTGGGCCACCCCAGACGTGCCATCTTCTGCCCCTCAACAGCTTGAAAAAGTAGTAATTGTGAATCCATTTGCATTTTTCTTCTCGACTTGTCCGTGTTCATCACTCAGTAAGGCAGGGGGGAAAAAAAAAAAAATAAAGCAAGCAGCAAAGGCGAGGGACCCCTCCCCAAACATGTGGCTGAGAGGAGAAGCTGGTGCCCTGGTCCCCACACCTTCGCCATCGCTTGTTTTTTACATTTCGCTCCTAATTATGTTGCATCTATCGCCATACACTTAATTAGCTGCATTAATGTGATTTCTTTTCACATAGTCAAGCAATTAAGAGCTATGATTGAGTTTCATTCAATTAGCCTCAACAAACATGCTAATTGATGTCCCAGATGCAAATGAGGTGCAGTGAGAGGAACCTGCCAGCAATCGCGAGCCGTGGCGGGGGGACCGGGGCTGGCTGACAACAGCTCTGCCTCGCAGGGCCCCCCCGGCGGGGGGACACAGCCGGCAGGGCCCCGGAGCTCCCTGCAGGAACGGCGGGCGAGGAATCAAATCAGCGGCGTCCGCGGCTCCCAGGGCGGGCGGGAGCCGGAGCGATCGGATCGGAGCGTCCTCCGGCCCCCGGGCCAGGCCGCGGCTCTCAAGCCGGGCCGCGTGTGCCCGCGCGGGGATGGCCGCGCGGTCAGCGCGAACTGGCAGCTCCATCTCAGTCAGCTGTGGGGCGATGCCGCCGCCGCCAGCGCACCGATCCATCAGTGATCCCCCAAAACGCGCTCCCCGCGTCCATTCCCATCGCTTTTCATCCCCAGGTCACCGGCAGCGGCTCCCGTGCGGTGCCGCAGAGGTGTTAATTTGACTACTCAAGGCCATTGACCATTATCTACTGACTAAACAAACTGCTAAAACATCAGGGGAAAATCAAAACCGCCGCACTGACTGAAGATGACACCAAGTATCACTTGACAGCACTACGAAATGAATTGCCTTGAGTAAGAAAGAAACGATGTGCCATGACACAGAATAATGTAAAGTAAAATTACTTCAGTTCTGCTCTTAATACGGCTCTCTGTTTACAACAGCAGAAATTAATTTCACCAATTAACTGAGCAGAAGCCTTTCAGACATGCAAATTGAGCAAACGGGTATGATCATGTTTTCTAAACAGACCCACCAAAAACAGTCACTGCTATTTCGGGGCCCCCTTTTTATTTCTGAGCACCAGCGGTTGTTAAATTTGCTGCCACACACCGCAGTGACTTCTGACGGCCCTCAGAGCTGGAGAAGACGCTCCACCGAGGGCCACGAGCTGAACCCAGGCTACCTGGTGGTTCCGGCCCAGAACACTGACAGCAGGCAAACATCTCCACTTCCACAGCCACACTCAGGGCTGCTGCCGCCTGCTTGGCCCCGTTTTCGGGCAGGAGGGACACATGGATCAGACTGAGGGAAAGGCAGAATGTGCTGGCTGCTGCTTCCATGAAGCTGGGACACAAACTCACATCGTTCAGGTCTATCACAGCCATCTCAAATACCTCAACTAAAGGACCACTGAGTGTGCAGCCATAAATTCATCATCAATAAATGGTTTGGGCTGCAAGGGACCTTAAGGAGACCTTCCCATCCCACCCCCTGCCGTGGGCAGGGACACCTTCCACTAGCCCAGGCTTCTCCAAGCCTCGTCCAACCTGGCCTTGGACACTTTCAGGGATCCAGGGGCAGCCACAGCTTCTCTGGGCAACCTGTGCCAGGGCCTCCCCACCCTGCCAGGGAAGGATTTCCTCCTAAAATCCAATCTAAATCTATCCTCCCTCAGCTGAAGCCATCCCCCGCTGTGCTATCAACAGAGCATGGTTGCTCCCTAGGGCCATCCTTAGCTTAAAGGCATGGCTCAGGTTAGTTATCAAAACCATGGATATCAAAAAGGTTTCACATCGTGGCACTGGGTGAAAGGGTTTCAAAGCTCACACTGAAACCACCCACCTGGGCATTGCCATGTGTCATAACACTGAAATTTAAAAAACTACCTGCTCCCTCCTAGAGGGTCTCCCCACATGTTTCTCCCACAAGATATGAAAGGAGAGACCCTCTGAGAGCAGTGACTTCCCGTGGCTATAACAGTACACAGCTATGAATATCACATTTTTTTTTTCCTTTTCAGCTATTCAAATCTCCCAGAAGCTTGTTTTTCCAAGGAAAAGGTCCAGGCCTAGAATCCTTCCCAGTTCTGTCCCTGGTTTGCACTGTGCTTTTGATGAGCTTCTTCCCCATCCCTAGAAGTGTTCAAGGCCAGGTTGGACGGGGCTCTGAACAACCTGTTCTAGTGGA